AATTAGTATTTCATATTGAGTCGAAGATATCGAAAATGTTGTTTTCGTAGTAGAATTCGATAAGACATTAATTTTAGTTATGCATGTTATTGTTTCAGCTTGCCAGCGTGGTATAGTAAGCCAAAATCTCCTTTCTAAGGAGAGGCTTATGTCCAGCAGTGGACTGTTAAAGGCTGTTGATGATGTTATTGTTTCAGTACAAAAATAAGTAGTTTTCTTTCTAAAAGGCTGGTGTGACCTATAGTTAGCATGATGTTCGTAGCTACAATAAAGTCCATAATAAGTCAGTACATAACAGTAGTATATATTACAGTATAACAACCAGACTGAGGCTGCAAAAATATAGTAACATGTCTCTAAATGTTTGCATTATAAATTAATTACACCCAAACACAAACCAAATGAGTAATAAAACAGTTGTGTTTTTACAAAAATAATGTATATAAGTATTCTATCAGTCAATCTAGCTTTCATAGTACAAGCTTTGATAAGTTTCAGATGAGATGACGATGTATGTCAGATGTCCGAAAATATTATTATTATTTAGCCGACTGTAATTTTAGTCCCATTTGCGTAATGTTGATAAATGTTTACAGTAATTACGTAAAAATAATATGCTTTACATGATCACCTACTCTGGTACAGTCGTAAGCTTTTCTTACGCAAATTATATTTCTCTGAGGAAAAGCTTAAATAAAATTGGAAGTCGTATATGGTTATATTAATGATAAAAGACAAATACGACAACGACGTTACTGCGTGTGTAACGATTCCATATTTACAATATTTATCGCGTTCTGTTTATATTGTTTCACGATATTTTTAGGTAATAAATGTTTTATAGAAGACTTTTGTTCAAAATTTAAAACGGTTAATGTTGAATTCAATTACGAGCTGAAGGATGGCACCTCCCGGTCTGACAGACGAAATTAAGAAGGTAGCTGAAATAAAAGGAACGCATAAGGCTAAGGAGCTAATGCACGTTAGGACATTAGGACGGCAGGCGCTAGGGGGTTCCGGATTTCTTAATAACAGCAGTTCCCGGATTCCTCCTATCACAGGCGCAGAGTGGCACACCGTGTGGTTTTAGTCGGTCCGATTCCGACACACCACCCCGCCACAAACCCCGGTGGGTGACGGCCCGAGGAGGTTTCCACACCTAAAAAATAGCCTAAGTCCAACAGTGGACAACAACAAACAATCCATTAATTTATATGATTGTGAGAATATTTCAAACACTGCAACTATATTATCAAATTTTGTACCCGTTATCGTTAAAATCACTCACAGTCAGTGAAAATTTATTTATTATATAAAGGTAGGTTTAATATTATATAGTATTTCAACAACGTTAGTTTAATGTATAAAAAGACAAAGTGTTATTTTTGTGAATAATTGTGTGATGATCATTTGTTTTGTGTCTGGGTGGAATTTACTACAAGATGTGCGTACGAAAGTATGTAAGTAATAATGTTTCTCAGCAGTCTTACCAGACAGTTACCACTGTATGTGTCAAATTATTCCCATTATTATATTATGGCCGGCTGCTGGCTTGACGCTAAGCCTCTTTGAGAAAATGATCGTTTGTAGACCTGATATCGTTTGACTAGAATATGCATTTTACTTATCCAAATTCACCTTCGACCATCGTGTCAGGGAGAGGACGTTAAAAAAAATAGGTGAATCATTATAAAACTATCCTATTTTATAGAAATATTTCAAACATTTTCAAAAAAAGAATAATCTTCAGATTCGCAATATGAACCTATAATACTCGTATTCGTGCACAATGGTCCGTGTGGTGACGTATTAATAATACAGAGTGTCACCACCCCTATTCATCCCGTGGGTGTCGTAAGAGTCGACTAAGGGAGAAAACTACGCAGAACAAAAGCACTGCAGAGAGAAGCCTCCTTTCTAAGGAGAGGCTTATGTAGACATAAGCCCAGACTATTAAAGGCTGTTGCTGATGATGATTCGTGCACAAATCTTACTATTTTATTCCAAGGGTTATTGTTGTTGTAGATACACATAAATAGATGAAATCTTTTATTCCATTGCTCAGCAACTTATTTTTGAAGAAATGAAATAACGGTATATTTCAGAGCAATATATTTACACTTGAAGTTAGATCTGGCGATAACATAGAAGTAATATGCTACACTTGGTACTCAAACGCTAAGTTGTTAAGTTCATATCATGTGTTTATAAATTGTTCAAATCATTACACAACAGATATTACCTGATATGCTAGATTTGGTTCTGAGAATACAATGATTACTAGAGTAAACTGATTGTCATCTGTCCCCATTGTCGCTTCCTACTTTACTTAATATTTAACACTTCTGTTATCATAGTCAATGTCAGTTTGTGTTAATTCTTTACTTTGAAACTCACTCAAACTCAAATATATTTTTTTCATTAAAATTTTAAAATTATTTGAAATAGTCTCTTGTGCAGACTTTAAAGTCATAGATCAACACTCACAATAGCAACAATCTTTGTTGTGTCAAATATTTATCTAACTAAATATATACGTATCGAAAATCTCTTATATGTCTGTGCCGATCTACGATTATTGAGTTATTTGTTTCTTTTTAAATTATTATCGTTGAGAATACATAGATCAGGGACCTTTTATATTTCACCTTAAGGTATAATATACATACTTTTCCGTCTGCCTATATCCTCGAAGGCCAACTAGGTATACTAGGTATGTCAATCGGCCAGTTACAGAGAGGCAAATTTATCCTTTCAGCCTGTAACTGCCCAGTTGATAGCAAAAGTTAACACAAATTCTCGTCTTTTTTGTGACTAAACTATAAGTAGGTAATTAAAACGTTTTTTAAACATTTTATGTCCTCTACATCACTCCGCGTAGTAAGAAGCAGCATGAAGCAATGGACCATTTATCAGAACCAAGCGATTTAATTTCCTTATTATATAATTTATTCTGCATTAAAATAAATAAAGAACATCAGTACTAGATAGAAAATTAAGTATACATTCCCTAAGTCGCGAACTACTTTTTTATTCACCAGTTTACAGTAAAATGACAGTAGTAACTTGGTGTTCTTGGTAAAGTTTTGGTTGAGTTTCAGAACAATGTATAGAAACGCTTTACTCAGTGTGTTGTGCTAGGAATGCTCTTTATTTCTTTCAATGCCATGCATTTGCTCCTTTAATATATTTCTGTCTGTTTGTATACTACTTAGTGCCATGTACAAAATGTACATGGCACTGAGTAGTTAGTGGCTCCTTATAGTATGTCACATCAACAGCCTATAATAGTCCACTGCTGGACATAGGCCTTTCCTTAGAAAGGAGGTTTTGGCCTACTATACCACGCTGGCCAGACGGGTTTATGTCAAGCTTGCCTTCTCTTTGTAGTGCTGTTATCCTGCGCAGTTTGCTGCCTTAGTAGGCTCTTACGACACCCACGGGATGAATAAGGGTGGTGCCATTCCGTATTCTTAATCGGTCACCACATGGAACTTTGTAGTATGTGCTACTTTGTAATATGAACAAAGATTTGGAATTCAGTTTAACAAGTTACATACACAGGTTAGTTAAACAAGAGTTAAACAATCTAAGTTCAACAGCATAAATAAAAGAACAAAGATACAAACATAATTTAATATTTATCAAAGCTATTGAATTCTTTTTTTTTGCCGAATTGTTCCGAATGAATGAATGAATGAAGATATTAAACACCGTTTAACATCAACCTTTTAATTATAATATATTGTTAGATTTGAGAAGCGGATGAGGTTAAAAATATTTTTAATTTTTTCCTCTGTTTGGGATAATTACATACAATACACGAACATCTGATGGCCATTAACAAATATCCGCAATTAGAAATACACGCGTAATATTAAATTGGAAGTCAGTAAACAAACACAAAGCCAGCACCCGTAGTCAATTAGAAAATTTCATAGCTAAAATGTTTTTAAGTTTAGAAACACTGGTACCATATAGGTCTATTTCATATTGAGATGAAATTTTGTTATATTGTCTACTCGCACGTGTTAAAAATGAATTTTGTCTATATGTACTTTTTACGCAAGGAACATACGAAATAATAGGATTGTGCAGAATAGTGGGAAGGGTTACTAATCCTATCTTACCTAACAACTCTGAGCACTCCACTGAACCATTGGCGATTTTGGATAAGTATGCTATGTCTGCATAAGGTGTAACATTACAAACCAAGCTTATCTAATTAATTTATAAAAGTTAGGTACATAATTATGCTATACGCTTTTGTTTATGAACAAAGTAATAATCGCCTGTTTCATACTTTTCATATTCTTACAATATAACACAAAATTATACCAACCTCCTTACAAATAATTTTATTATACGCAATCTTAATTTGAGCATGGGAGACCCAGGCTTCAGCATAAATGAGGTTGGCTCGACTGGAGTGATACCAGAGCTTCAGAAAAAACCAATGTTAATCAATTCCATCGTTGCTTTTCACCGAGTCCAGAGAGTCCACCAGAGCCCAAAATCTCCTTCCCCTATTTCTTCGGATTCCGGTTACTGGATGTTTCACGTTTTATTTTCATTTACTGATGAGATCAATAACGAAATTTACGTTTTTAGTTTTAGGCTCTATTCATAGCAATTTCTTTTATTTTCTTTTAAAAAGACTGCTCTCGCATATCCTATGTCTTTACAAACATACATGAAAAGGAACACCGAGGCTTAGAACTACAATTTGTAGATCACACAAAGTGTTGTCCCATGAGGGGTTCGAACCCACAACGCTCAGCGTGCTACGCACTACGCCATCCGTGTCAGCTAATTACATCCACACATTACGTAGAACGATCATAATGTTAAAAGAAAGATTTTCCTTACAGAAATTTTCTCGATAATTCCATTACCTTTGTACAACTCTGTATAATTTATCCGTAAGCCTAATTCAATTAACAGGGACGGTCGAAACCTGTAAAGTGTAGCACTTTTCACTCAAAGTGTAGTGTTTCACAATGGTGGACGGTAAGTTCTTTGTTGTTGTTTAACAATTGTTTTCATTGGACAAAGGCAGGTTTAAACTTGAGGAAGTTTTAGAAGGAAAAGGGGAGGGCCTTTTGAAAGATGAATTTATATATCTTGAGTGTTTTATTACTTCAAAGTACAAAACGATAAGACACTCGTATCTGTACATTAAACAATAATAACATTTCGTTAATTGATTATTTTGATAAAGTTACTATTTATAAGTGTAAAGTTTTTTTTATTATTCTAGTGTTTTTGAAGAATCTTTTGCCCACATGGGCACGCCAGCTCCATTGTACCTTATACTAACTTATTCTCTACTATACATGCAATTAGATCAACTTATGAACGAGAATCATTAAAAGGCACCAATACCAAACTGCTCAATTTTTGGGCCACTTCAGTTTTTGGGTTTGCCAAAATACTGTGTGTTAGTCCATAGTCAAATTTATTCAAATTGAATTCCTTCATTAATGATTCTCTTTCCAAGTGTTAAGTTCTACAGTAACTTGATTTAACACGATTAATAAAACAAAAATCCTCAGTTCATAATTTTTAATAGCTTTAATGGCTGCTTTGATGTAAACAAGGTATATATGTACAGTTCCCATGTGGTTATACCTAATAACCTTCATATTTGACACATCATACCTGAGTCTATGATGAAACGGCTTTCTATGTTAGTAAATATGTTTTTAATCAACCTGTTGCTCTAGTGGTTTAATTTATCTACAATTTGTATATATTATTCGGAGTGAATTGGCGGAACAGTTACAGCGCTAGTACCTGACCAAGTATTTATATACAATATTATTTTATGTATGCATTTGTGTTTATATATTGTATATGTTTCTGGACCTAACTTATGTTAAATTTAATATTTTATTTTGCACCTACCGCATCATATTTCTACATCAACTGAAGGTTGACTGGGAGAGAATGCCTAATGGCATTAAGTCCGCCTTTGTACAACATGGGCATTAAGTTTAAAATAAATAAAATAAAAAATTAATAAATATATAATTCTAATATCAGGTGAACGGCAATTGTGGCAATAACGACAATTAAAAGTAGGGCTCGAGGTTAAGTGATAACACACTGCAAAGTTATGTAATCGTAGCCAGGTCAGTCTATGGACGTTTGACCATTCTTAACACATTGAGACCACTCCGTGCCTTGGAAACCAGGTTAGGCCGTCGGTCCCGGTTGCTATACTAACACCTGTGGCAATTGTTACGGGTTGTTGGAGCCCTAAATAGTCCGAGAACAGTCTACAGAACTTCGATAGCGCCTAGCTCTTGCGTTGTGGAAATCTGATGGCAGTCGCTCCGTGTTAAAAATTAAAATTCAGTCGTATCGTAGTAGACTAAAAGCCGACTTCAACCTAGGTTGGGAAGAAGGCTCAAAGGTACTCGTAGGTTAACTTCAATAAGGCTTGCCCCCTATTACGTACTTGATGCCAAAATTGTATTTGAATAAATTAGCCCCTTAAATTTCATCTTTGTCAGCCCCTTCGAGAATAAAAGACGTGTGTGAATATACGTATGTATTCAGTATTAGGTTTTCTTTAGCATTTTGTTTTCTTCTTCAATACCAACCTTAATTTAGCATATCTGTATACTTATATACATATGTATACTATGGAAATGTTAAGTTGGTTTGTGTTAAGCATTAAAAACTCAAAAAGAACTGCAACAATCCAGCTCAAATTTAAACACCGCTATAAAAACCGCTTCAAAAAAGCTCCAGTAACAGGGCAATCAGTGTTAAGAATTACCATGTTTCCGGGAGGGCGTGGTTAACTAAATAGATAAATAAATATATGCCTATGCTTGCATCTTCAGTGGTAAAGGTGTGTGTTTGTATATATGAATCGTTTATTTCCAGTAATAGATCCAGGTGTGGTAAAAACTGGTGCGTATAAATACGAAGATGGAACTAAATACGTGGGTGAATGGAATTCGAAGGGGCAGAAACATGGAATGGGGCATCTGGTGTTGCCTGATGGAACTCGGTACGACGGTTCGTTGATGGGTGGTCTATGTTCGGGTCTAGGAATCATGGCATTCCCTGATGGAGCTAAGTAAGTTCAAATTTATTAATTATATGTTGCCTATCATTTAATTTAATCATATTCTATTGTTGCTGTGACTATGCGTACCATGTTCATTAATAATTTGAAAATACGAATTCGAATATTTGCCAACTAAATTTACGGAATTAAGAAATTTAATTTGAATTGAAACATATTAAAGAGTGAAGCTTAATTATAAGCGTAATTTAAATTTCAGAAATGAATATGCATTGACTTGATAAGGGATGCAAAATTTACTTTTATCATCATTATTAAATAGGTTACACAAGACCAGCATATCTACTTAATTTTAATTTTCGAAACAAGCTAAAACTGTATAAATCTTTCTCTTTTCTCTTTTTTTTAAAAAGACAACTCCCGCATTAGAAATATATCCTGTGTCGCTGGGGACTTTACTAACATACATGAAATGGACACAAATCTTTGTATGTAACTAACTTATGAAAACATTACCTTTCTTGTTAGATAAGTAAGGTATTTCTAAGCTGAAGCTCACTACAGAACTCTAAGTAGGTATGCACACACAATTTAATTTAACTAATACTATCTAATCTCGTTACAAAATTAGGATATTAGTCTAACAGATTCGGTTCCAGGTTTAATTAGCAAGATACTAATCTATCGTTCTATCAATCTAATCTACTCGTATTCGTGCAATGGGATAGGCCTTTTTTTTTTGTTGACGGAGTTGAAAATCCCTTCGGATCTCCGGCTCCTTGGGGATATAGGAGCCAGGAGTATGTGGTGATTCCACTAAAAACCACTCCGACGGCCAGCCTTAGGCGCCCTGCTCTAGAGAGAACCCGGGCCATGTGATTTCTGGTCCCCCTAGATCGACGAAACCCAACTAAGCCCCATCTCAGGGAAAGCCAGTGGCTTATCCCTGCCTCTCAGCCTATCCAGATGTTGCAGTCCGATCACATTTTCAGTGCGATCAGGCTGCCATCCTATCCCATACCGCAGCAATTAATCTGTCACCAGAGGTCCCCACTCTCTGGTGGCCCGCGGTCCCGTCGGCTGCTCATTCTGCCGCCGACGTCTTCTTCGCTCGAGATCGGCCCTCACCCGATCCTGTTCAGCGGTCTCTTTCTGGAGCATTACAGCTTCACAGAAAGAATGGGAGAGGCCTATGTCCAGCAGTGAACTGTGATAGGCTGATGATGAATCTATTCTATTCTCAAACCGACGGAGTCAAGAAACCTCTCTGTATTTATATACTAATCCCTTAGTATTAATATAATTATAATCCTCACTAACTCTTACTAATATTGTAAATGCGTAAATGAGTTAAAATCAAACGATTTACGTATAATTTTGTATTCTCGCTATCAGCAACTTAGAAAAATGATTTATTTTATATTATTTTCATTCACCTCCGTATCGCTGCAGTAATATTTGTACAGATATTATATATATTTCGGTGTAACAATGGGTGGTCTTATTGCTCACTAGCTGATACTCGCGACTTTGTTCATGTGGAACTTGAAAAGAAGTGCCTTAGTGGATTCGATTCCCGGACCAGGCAAAATTTTAAAGGGTTTTTATGAAAGGGAAAATAGCATAAGTTACTCGTTATATATGTATATCGTTAAATATCTACCTGGTAATAAAATATTATCAAAATCGATCCAGCCATTTAGAAGATTACCCGGACCAAACGGACAGACAGACCGACAAAAAAAAAATCAACTGGTTTTTGAGTATAGGTATCGTGCAAATAACTGTGTGAGCATGAAAAAACAAAAAAAAAATTGACATTACAAACAGACACTTCAATTTTATTTATTTGTATAGAAGATATCGATCTTTCATAAACAAACCAGGAAGAACTGTATTACAATGATATTGATATGATATTAAAATTCTATGTTTAATTGGAAATGTATAATTATTTTATTTTCGCCATCGTTTCACATGGCAATCCCCATTACTTTAATAATAATAATAATATTCTACCACATACACACAACGCTATCTAGTCCCAAACTAAGCAGAGCTTAGTTTGGGACTAGATAGCGTTAGCTAGAGTACTATGGCTACTAGACAACTGATATAAATACATATATACTTTTTTTTTTTTGTAAATACATACATATTATACATAGAAACACCCAGACCAAATCAACTATCAAATGTTCATGCACACAAATGTTTGACTTGAGCGGGAATCGAACCCGCTACCTTTGGAATAGCAGTCCGTTACACAAACCACTACGCCATGCAGTCGTCAAATTGACACTCCACTTCTGTGCGCCTTTCCAGTCACTTTTTGCCTCACATAATCAATCTGTGGAACGAGATATCGTATGCGGTATTTCCAAACCGATACGACCTTCAGTTCTTAAGAAAAAGAGCACATTTCTTCCTCAAAGGCCGACAGCGCGCTTGTGACTCGTGAGTTGCAGCCGATCATGGTTGGCGGTTGTCGTTTTCAAAAGGATGATCCGTCTGCTGGTTTCCCCATCTACAATACAGGGCAATAGCCTTGCCATCTATCAGTAAGTGGGAAAAATATTGAGTTCAACAAAATGTTTGCATTTGTACGCCTTTTTCTATTAAAATGAAAAGATTGGGAAGTGCGAGTCTTACTAGCGCACTAAGGATTCTGTACGAACTTTTATTGAAATACAATATCTCCACGAATTTAAGTGAAAAGGGTCTTGGCAGATAAATAAAGAGACAGTCGGACAATGAAGTGATCCTAAGTGATAAGGGTTCATCTTTGACTTCTGATTAAAGGAGAGTTAACACTATAGTAAATAGTGCCATTATGTTCATAATTAGTCTAATTACCACAGTAATATTCCAAAAGCAATAATAATATGACATACTCGGGCCGTTAGGGTGAAATTGGCCTGTCGGGGGTGGCGGCAGAATGCAATTGCGATCCTCGCTCCCCCCCCCCTTTTTTTTTCCGTGCGGAAATCCCCTCGGATACCACGGTGGCATGTCGGACTCGAACCGACTAAAACCGCACCCCGACATAATCCTCGCTCCCCCGGGCATCGGCAAGGAGAGGAACACCGAGGTGGGTTGTAGTCGGTAAGAGTCCGACAGACCTCTTCGCCATGCCCCACTGGGCGAAATACATCCATGAGGATCTTCCACCAGGATCTTTAAAAAATAACAGCAAATGGTTTTCAATCTAAGTAAACCATTCAATAAAACAATTTTCATGTTTTTTTTCTACTTATGAGATTGACTATGTCATTAACAAGTAAAAAGAGCTGCAACCGTATGTTTTAAATTATGCAAGAACATCATATAATGTTTTTTTATAATTGATATCTTAACTAAATGATATTTATTTCTGCAAGTATCCTTTTCAGATATTTTTGCAAGTCAGAGTCATTGCGAAAGGGCACCGGCATTTTTAGGTCCGTGTACAATGTTAAAGAGAAGTACATATGTCTGTACAGTATAGGATCTGGGGTGGCCTTTTGAAGACAGGTCTATAGTTTTAAGTCGGCCTATAAATACAGACGCCCCAACCATCGTGTAGCCTAACCGATATAGTCAGAATCAACAACCCGAAAACGATACTACCGCCAACAGGACTTTTGAGTAGGCCGTGGAAACACTCAAAACCACCAGAAAGTTACTAGATTTGAAACTTGTCAATTTCTACATTTATTAATTCTAAAGCTTTCATTGGTCGGACTATCTATCAGAAAATTTACTGTAAATACCTAATAAATATTTTATAGTAAAATAACATTTCCAAGTTCTTTTTTTTTGTTTACGGGGTGGAAGACCCTCATTAATGTTTTTCGCCCAACGGGGCGAAGGGATCAGTCGGACTCTTACCGACTAAAAACCAGTGCGGTGTTCCTCTCCGTTCCAATGGCCAGGAAATCTACTGGTCACCCCGACTGGTATTTCTTCGGTACGACTTTCCCTTGACGCCCGTTGAGTTGGCAGTTGATATTTTTATAGAATTACATTATTATAAGCACACACACAAATTTTCAATATGCGGAGACGCGTAGTTTTTGAGTTTTTTTTTTTTTAAATTAATTATTTTTTGCAATATTTATGTCAATCCCTACCACAAGATTTTTAGAATTCTCGCCATTGAACGTTTCGTTTTCCCTACTATTAAGTTGTCATACGTTCGGTATCATTTTATGTTATATAAATTTACGTAAATAATTACATTTTGTACTCATTTAAAATTAAAATGTGTAGTGTTTACCGTCTTTTGTCAGCTAGTGGAACGTAAAACGGACGTCCGAACTGAAGGGAGGGAGTTGGGGGGGGGGGGTAGGCGGTCGTCGGCTGCTCTCCCTACACGCCTCCGGCTCTATAAAAACATTCTAAAGGTACAGACTTATGAGTCTGTACCTTTAGAGTGTTTTACCAGGTGGACTCGGGGTCAATCAATTCGGTTCTTTGACATAAATTGAACCTCACCCATTTTGTTTTTTATCTGCCCTAATAGGTACTGTTAAAATAAAACAAATTAATAATTTATAAATGTCGTCAGTTTTATCTTTCGTTCCACAAGCCGGCAAAGACTGTAAACACTACACATTTTAATTTTAATAGCTCATAATGAAAATATCGCTTTACTTTAATATATATAAACGGTTAAATATGTGTGTGCATTGAAAACTATTGAAATAGTTTTTTTCAGGATTTTATGTAGGTCAGAATAATTTTAACTCCGTTTTTTTTTTGGTCAGTGTTCCAAACTGTGTTATATTTTACGTTTATGAACAAATCGTTCGAAATTATGCTCTATGAATAAATCGTCTATTACCGAGAGTCTTTAACCGAAAAGCTCTCCATTCGGAAACTTAAATCTTTTTGTTTATAAAAATCTTGTAGTTTCTAAGAGCCTACGATTATTTCATTCAAAATTCGTTGAACTTAAATTTATGGTAAACAATCGTCCTTCAAGTCACTATTCATTTTGGAATTTCTGGAAATTCTTTTAGCTTTAATCCTAGCTTAAGTCAAGGCAGTCCATTGACGAAGAATATATATGAGATTTATTAGCTCTCCTTCCATAACGGCAAAGCAACAAAATGTAATAATAAAAAAAAGTACTTTGCTGTACATTCCTTTCTACCAAAACTTTTTATACTTTTGGAAATAATTTTCTCATTAGTACAGAACACAACAGCAATACTCGTAATCTAAATAAAAGATAGTAGAGATTGATTTCAGTAAAATCCTATTAATTTATTTTTTTATAAAATGAAGGTAGTTTATCAAAGTTTTAGCAATCGAGGTATTTATGCAGTACCTCTTCAAGTCCTTAATTCACAGAAGACAGAGAAATCGGACAAACTTAAATCAGAAACACAGAGAGACAGGTAGATGGGTCAGCCACGCCAGAGTTCATCCCGCTAGTAAAAAGACTGATGTCAAAGAAATCGTAGGTTTTACCCAATTTCATTGTGAAAGTGCCATTAGGTATACAGTTTTGCGAACTAAAGAAGTTGGTACATATTGTAAGGCTATTGGTTTTTTTTGTGTCATTCAAAATTTATCGTTAGTCAATACGACTTCTGTTTACAGTTAATTAAATGACAGAGATAGATCGGGATTATTGCAACATTTGGGAGCAATCTTCGAAATCAAATTACAATTGGTATTATATATACAATTGTAATTATTTATCTCTTAAATTAGGCGTCGATCTCGACGACACTTACATTGTGAAAGGACACTTATAGGTACATACTTTTATTTTATTATTAATTATTTCTTCATCCAAATTTTTTAATATATCTTTAAACAAAGTAAATTATTGTTGCAATAGTATTGTGTCTTTCGATTTATTCTATTATGTTTCGTAATAGTATAATAAATAATAATATAATAATAAATAATAATTTCGTGTCTAAAAAAATACATGTTTGTTGTTAACCGACTTCAAAAAGGAGGAGGTTAACAATTCGGATGTTTTTTTTTAAATGTATTGTTCGGGCGCATAACTCCGTCATATACAGTCGGATTCTTTTTTATTCGAAAGGGGTTTATTCCGAAATGGTCGCATTAAAATTTCATATTTATCTGATGATGAGTTTCAGAAACAGACAATTGAACTCTTCAAAAAAGGACATCGAATCAATTGCGATTGCTACTGGGCTCTTTGTTAGTATTGTTTGTTTGAAGTCGGTTCAACTTTTAGGAAGGATTTTAAATTATTTACCACAAAGTCTATGGAGATCAAACTCTCAAATACATGTTTCAGATATGAAGGTGAGTTCATGCAAGGCTGGTTTCATGGACATGGTGTGTTTTGGCGCGCTGACGGCATGAAATTTGAAGGAGAGTTCCGTGGTGGACGTGTTTGGGGTCTCGGTATGTTTGCTTGTAAAGTACTTATAAGTTTTGTGTGAACTTTGTCGGTTTCTATATAACCACTAAAAGCAAATTGATGGCGATGCTTAAGTAATTGAAAATTGTTTCTACAAATGTCCATTACTCCAGGAAACCACTTACACGGTTTCCACTTAAACCAGTCGACGGCTGGCCTCAGGTACCCTACTCTGAGGAGGACCCAGACCATGCAATTTCACAGACCCCTCTGAATCGACACGACACTTAGCCAGATCTTATCTTGACCGATGCCGAACCAATCGGCCAAATATAGGCTTTCTTTCTTTTACAAAAGACAACTCCCGCATTAGGAATATATCCTGTGTCGCGGGGCACTTTACAAACATACATGAAACGGACACAAAGAACACTCAGACTCAGAACAACAATTTGTGCATTGCACAAAGTGTCGTCCTATGTGGGGATAGGAGCCACAACACTTAGCGTAGTAGTAAGCGGCGTGGCGACCGCTTAAACCACTACGCCATCCGTGCAGTATTTGGCTTCAGCTTTAACAAGGGCTAAATGTTTTTTTTTCACTTCAATGAATTTAGGTTCTGACAAATAATATGCACAATTTTACATGTCCTTTCCAGGCCTTGTGACGTTTAGTGATGACAGCAACGGTTTCCCTCGCAACGAAGGTTTCTTCCAAGACTGTCGCCTGGTACGTCGTAAGCGTTGCCCTGAAGTGGTTCAACGAGCTCAGAAAGTGGCGTACATGGCTCGTGCCCAATGCCAACATATTTAGTGACAAAATGATGATTTTAGAAGTTCTATTTTTCATATATACTAGAACAACATGTTACATTTAACAAATTAGATTGATCTATAATACATATATACCTACAACATCCCCGACAGTTTCAGTTTCATTTCTGACTATTCGATTTTTAAGCTTATATTTAGGTTACTAAATATCTAATAACTAATTCTGTAAATTAACATTCTTTACCAAAATACAGTAATTATGGATTAGGTTGGTAGTTAAAAATATATTTAACAGCCAAACGCCTATTATAAATTTTTAAGCAAATTTTTGCACAAGGGCAACAGTTGGATGCATTTTATTATATTAAATAATTAAATATACTATATCAACTGTATGTTTTACGCGCCTTTTCGGGAGCACAAAGAACACGGGGCTTTCTACACAGGAGGAGGTCATCAACCCGCCGCACATGGCCCAAGGTACGTCGGGGTACCAGGAATTTCCTTTCTAGGGTATATCTGGTTCCCCGGCTACTGGCATCCGAGACGGCGTGCGGTTTTTGGTCGAGTCCGACATAATCACCGGTGAGTGCTATCCGAGGGAATTACCGTACAGACAGAAAAAGGAGGATGCCATACCTTCTACTAAAAAATAAATAAGCGACTCTTACAATAGTCGTTAATATCTGACATTATAACTAGTAACATGCAATTTTATTCTGATCCTTATATTTTATATTAGGTATATCTTAACTTAATACCAACTAGTCATATACATAGATAACTAGTTTCTGCCAACGAGTTCGTTAGCATGGAATTTGAAAAGCGGTGCCTTAGTGGGTTCGATTCACGGACCGGTCAAAATTTATTAGGGTTTTTTCTGAGAGAAAAGATAGTCTTAGTTACTGTTTATATAGACAGCTACTTGGTAGCAAAATATTATCAAAATTGGGCAAGCCGTTTTGAAGATTACCCGGAACAAACAGACTGACAGAGAGATACAAATACAAAATATTTAAACTGGTTTTTAGCCATAGGTGTCGTGCAAATAACCGTGGGAGCGTGAAAAAAAAACCTATTATTATGACATTACAAACCAACACTTCAATTTTATTTATTTGTATAAATAATTAAGGCACAAGTTACATTAATTATATTTTGTTAGAATATTCCGAGTTTTAGTTCATAAGGCGGAAATTCAATAGGGTAATAAAGCTTCTGTATTGTAATTACCCAAGAATAGAGTCAATTAAACCTCCAGTCCTAAACGTAATACAATCCAAACAATTGCCATATACTCAGTGCTGTAAATAATGTATGTCGATCTACTTAATCACAATTATTAAATACTACTACTGAATGTATTGAATCACCAAGTCAAACTTCTCCTTTCAACAGCCCTTTATAGTCCATTGCTGGACATATACCTTTGCTTAGAAAAGAGGTTTTAACCTACTATACCAGGTTAGCACGGCGGGATGGTATAGGGTTTGTTTCATGTTTTCCGTCTGTTTGCAGTGTTGTTGTCCTGCATTGTTTGCTACTTTTGGATTGGATTGGATAACCATGGGTGGTGACCCTCCGTATTCTTAACCCCTCAACATATAGATAAAAAACATTTCTTTTTTAAAGATCTACTAGCAATCGAAATTACTAGTATTCCCGTTAACCCCTCCAGCTAAACTTGCTTGTGTTAGGAGTAGGTTCACGTCGGTAGTGTACTGGTCAGGATTCGAACCAGCGACCACTTGATCGCAAGTCCAACGCATTAACCACTAGGCTACCACTGCTTTACATATATTGACGACCGGATGGCGTAGTGGTTTGTGTAACGGACTGCTATTCCAAAGGTCGCGGGTGCGATTCCCGCTCAAGTCAAACATTTGTGTGTATGAACATTTAATGTTTGATTTGGTCTGGGCACGGTACAATTATAATACAGTAGTGTAACTCAGCCGCATGATAGACATAAATGCCTACAGCCGCGCGGTATGTAAACATGCGTTAGGGCTGCCCTCCAGCATTTTAATTATATTTGCCTATTTTCTGTTTCTATTTAGATTTGTGATTGTAAATATCCTTTTTATATAAATAAATGAAATACTTTGTATATTGAATAGGAATTGTTCAATAAAAATGCGTGTTGTTTTTTGATTGGTAAATTTAATTAAAAACATGTTTTTGTTTGAAAAACAAATCGGGCTTATAAATTTGCGACCGAAAAAAATCCTTCTATAAAATAAATTAAAAGTGCTTTCTCCTTACGCGTTACAAAACTCCAATCCTTAGAAACTCCAACACCTATCTACTCAACTAGAATGCAAGAAACAGCTGACGAGTAAGTAACTTTTTATCTCAGCTTATTAACGTCTCTATAAATTAGGTACCTACCTACAACTCGCAACAACTCAAAACAAAAATTCTTTGGTCACCAATTAATTAATTATTAAAAAGCTGAACAGATGACTACGAATGTTTTAAAATCACAGCCCTCAAACATCTAAATATTATATATGAGTCTAGCTGTTGTTGTTAATACCGAGAAAATAAAACCAGTTTTTAGTGGTATATGTTGTTATAGTAGCAGCAGAAACACTTTGTGAAAATTTCGAAAACTGTCTAATGACACACAGACGGTAAAAAAATTTTTTTAGTATTATTCATACACACAGATATAAACAAATATTATTAATAATAAAATACCACGTCTTTACTTTGAATTATGCAAAGTAACAAAACACACATGCACCGAAGTTTTAACACAAGCGTAAGTAGGTAGGTACCTACCGTATCATGATTCATTCAGAACCGCATATAACTCCCTATTTCACTCGTCTCAATAACTTTCCGTTACTCTATTTGCTTTATTTATTCATCCAAACACCTTTTTTTTCGTGAGATAAAAGGAAATACTTATCCATTAAAAAGACACACATTATGTACCTACCTACTAGTAAGTAAAATTATTTTATAGTCTTACCTTTCAGAGTTTCCAGGGAATTTAAAAAAAACTTATGTCTGGATGCGTTATTGACGAATTCATACAACCAAAAACAGCACAAATTTCCTACTCGTCATATTAACTGATTTTTAGAGAAAAATTCACGCGGTTATTGTTAAAAAAACAACACACAGTCAGTTCGACACTGCGGTACAGCCGTGACTGTCTGCGCCCCGAGCGCACCCCGAGATCGAGGCGCGTAGGTATAGCTCGCGTTTCGTCCGTTTGTATGAAGTTGGAGTACTGTATTATAATAGTACCGTGGTCTGGGTGTTTCTATGTATAATATGTATGTATTTACAAAAAAAAAGTATATATGTATTTATATCAGTTGTCTAGTACTCATAGTACAAGCTCTGCTTAGTTTGGGACTAGATGGCGTTGTGTGAATGTGGTAGAATATTATTATATTATTATATAGTCAATATCCCAACATAATAATATGGCAAGAGTAAGGCAATTCTTACTGCAGTCTTCGTCTTCTCACCCCATCTAAGATTGCGGTATTCTTTCCCACAGTTCCCCCGACTTACTCTTATAAGAATTTACCTCCAATTTTATTCTCAATTGAAAACGATTACACGACCAGGCAGAGTTTTTTCCTCCAAAGTGCACATATCTTTTCTTTTGTTTCAATTCAAGCCTTATTGTGTTAATAGGTCACAATTGGTATATAATCAATCTTTTAAATTCCAGAAGGTATTAAAGAGAATAATAAGACAAGGATTTATTGATCTCTACAATGATTTTCTAGTGATGGCATTCTAAAAAAAATCTTAAATATATTTTAAAGTAAACTACTTACTTTAGTAAAATGCAAATTAAACTCCAAACCCTAACAAGATTAATATAAGAGCTTGTATTAGCTACCTAATACTAGTAGCTTACAAGGTTTATTAAATAAAGGTTGAGAATGCACTTAAGGACTCGTTCGTTTGAGGGAACGTTCCGGCTTCTTGTAGGATAGGGCCTGGATACACGCGGCGTCGATTAGGCGTCGAAAATCATGTGATTTTATCATACATACACATATCATGTGGTTTAGGTTATCCTCAGTGTCTCCCGCTTTGCTAAGGAGGGAAGTGGATTTACTGTATTTCCAACCTCCTTCCACTGCTGTGGATCCTGGTGTACAGGAATTACAGTGGTGGGCGCGTGGGTAGGATTAGTCCCATCCTCAGAGTAGGGTGCATCGGGATGGATTTTAGTGAAAGAACTCACCACTAATACTCATAGATAGTTTTGACTATGTGTGTGTGTTGTGACTTGTACGAAATATTTAGTTATTTATAGTGGTATATTGATAGCTATAAATATTTGTAAAAGCAGTATTGAAATCGTAAAACGATAATATGATCTTCAATTAAAAAAAAAACATCGTTAAGTTCGTAAAATAATATGAATGCTCTTGTTTTAATTATTTTTGTTCTTATGAAGTTACAATAAAAGGTTGACAGTGAATGTGTGTATAATGTTTGGAGTTTAGGTATTTGTGAGTTGAATTCTTCCTAACACTGTTATAACTCATGCTTACATAATACGGAATGAAACTTTGCGTTGAGATTATTGAGTACATAAACAAGTATTCTAGTAGGTATATGGAGAAAGGGGACAGAGGAAATCGACACAATCCAAAGAAAGGTTTAAGTAATAAAGAAAAATAAACACCAAATATAACATTAAACAATAAAATATTTTATTTCGCATTTACAAAGCTTACAATGTTAACCATGGTACTTTATAACTAAATTCGAATAAATTAATATCTTAACAATCCATCACATCAGTTACTTTTCAATTTTCTCTTGGCTATGGTTTCTTCGTCGTCCAGACATTGTCCGTACCTAACTTCCATGCATTTGCTTCCCTGAAATTATATTTAAAAAAAAATTGTTAGCATTTCAAAGGAAAAAAAAACAAACATTAACATAAGATAATGCTAGTAAAATGTGATCCTCGATTCATGGAAGTCAAAAAATAGTGATAATAGCAAAAAAATACTAAACAAGTGTTTTTGTGACCATTGTTTCTGCCTCTATTTAGCTAAAAGAATATTTTTATTGTATCTTTGAAAATTATATAATGTTAAAGAAAAATGATGTATTACTAAAAATTCTAAATTTTAGTGATGTATTATGCTTTTTTGTTTTCACATACGAAATAATTTTAATAAAATAAAAATAACACAATTCATATTTTACGATTATAAGAGAATATTAATATGTTGAAAAGCTAAATAAAAGAAGTATGAATTTAAATAAATTGCTTTAGTTTCACCAACAATATTTGCAGGGTATCTTTCTAGCTGTTAAAGCTAAGAGAGTTTCCATTGATTTATTCGTCAAAGACTAGCTATCAATTATATTGAAAACTATTTTGGAATTTTCATGGTCATTTCTACATTTACTAATTTATCTCTTTTACTTCATCAGCACTGTTTTTAGAAAACATGACTCTCCTATGTATACACATTGTATATAAATTTAGAATACAGATAATTAAATTTAGTAGTTTCGAATTATTATCCTTCTTAATTTAAATATACATACATGGCCAGCCACTAAAATATACATTAAAAATAATCTCTAACAAACGTATATATTCTACGTTGCGTTTGTTATTCGATACTTTCGACTTCACTTGCTGAGATGAAACAGTTAACGAAAGCAAAATGATCAATGATATAACGGTACCTGTTAGAAGCAGTCGTCTGAACTTTCACTCGGAACTTACATAACTATTGACGTAAGAATCATGGGCATTAATGTCCAGTTTGCATTTATTATTGTCATTATTATAATGTGGTGTAGGCTGATCGTTACGAAACTATTTGGGTGAAACTCCGAGTAAGATAATTTAGATGGTAGAAATTTATTCATACTCATACAGGAATGATTCTTTATTCATACAGGAATGATCATATTTTATTAACGCTATGTATCTATAACCGATTTTATTTGCTGTTTAAATAACCTTTACCTTACCTAATTACTTTCACATTGAAGATAATAGAAAAATGGTAAGACGTACCATCATCAAAATAAATTAATATGCGCAAATTTTAAGAATTTTTTTTTAGAAAAACTATCTGACTCAGTCAATATCCAAAGCAATTTTTACGTTGAATTTATTCATTAAGTGGTTTTAAATGCCTACTGTTTTATTTAATAGATAGTTTCTGTATCAAATCAAAAGTCTGCTTCGAATTCTACATCAGCTTGCCAAAAAATATCTCCACTTTTGTTAGACAAATAGATTTTTATAAAATTGAGTTTTATATTATTAACAATAAAGGATATTTTCATACCTTAGCCAAATACGCCTTCATATAGAAGTTGCCGAAGAGTATGATGAATGAGATCATGTAGATGATGAGTACATAGTGCATCCAGAGTGGAAACTCGCAGCCAGTCCTGATGCCATTGATGCCGAGGACCAGTGCACAAGTGAACTGGATCTGTAAATGAAGAATATTGTTTTTGTTACTTATTTATTTCATTAAAGTCTTCAATTCGAGAACTCAGGTGACGTTTTCTGAATGATAACACTGAAAATATATTTAATTAAAGATTATACCTTTTCTGGGGCGTATTTTTTATTTTCATTTTATATCATACTACCTTTAATTCTAAATAGACTTAACAAAATATTGGGTACAGCTCAGGTAAGTTTTACACGTAAGTTGACCAATGGCGGCCATTGAGGCTCGTATCATTGAATATTTGACAACGTAATTTTTCTTTTGATTCCAACAAGAAAATGTTTTTAGTTTAGCCTCGCTATTTCAACTAAATATTAAAATGGAAACTTTTTGATACACATAAGTGAAATAGAAACACACCGCTAAAATGGGAATATTTTTGATAAATATTTAGTGAAAAGCGTTCATTAAATGTAAAGTAGTTTATTAAGATCAAAGTAACTCACCAGCTGCATTATCGTGAGGTACTTCTTCCACCAGAGGTATTGGCTAACAGCTGGACCGAGCACAGAGAGGCCGTAGTAGGTATACATTAGAACGTGGATACCGCTATTGACCATGGCGGGTAAGAACGCTGGAACAAAAAATATATTCTATAAGCAAAAACTTATTTGTATATAGTAGAGGATAGACATATTTAAGAGACGCAGGTCTTCTTATTAACGTAAATGCTATTTTAAATCTGACAAAGTGACATTGACAACTGACCGATAGTGCTGACATTTTAGAAGAGAAAGGCCCGACATGACAGACCCAGGAGGAATATATATATGTAATTCTTATTTTAAAACTGACAGTGACATTGATAATTGACTGATAAAACTGTCATTTTGCAAGAGAAAGGGCTGTTATGAAAGACCCAGGAGGAATTTATATATGTTAGAGACGTTCAGCAGGTCTTCCTAATAACGTAATTCTTATTTTAAAACTGACAGTGACATTGATAATTGACTGATAAAACTGTCATTTTGGAAGAGAAAGGGCTGTTATGAAAGACCCAGGAGGAATTTAATAACATAAATTGATATTGGATTAAAAATACGGAATGTCACCACCCCTATTTATAACGTGGGTGTCGTAAGAGCCAACTAAGGGAGCAAACTACGCAGGACAATAGCACTGCAAAGAGAAGGAAAACTTGAAACAAACCCTATATGGCCAGCGTGGTATAGTAGGCCAAAACCTTTGATGATGATGATGATGTATAATAGTAATCCGAGCAAAAGTCTGACACGATCTGTCTAAAAACTACGATATCACCTATTATTTGAGTTGTGGAGATCTGATGGCAGTCAGTCTACGTAAAAAGCGAAATTCAGCCATGTCCTAGTACACTGAAAGCCGATTCTAACTTTGATGATGATGATTAAATGTATTAATTATAAAATTAACACCTAGGTATGTCATGGAATGGAAAAAAAACCAGAATAATTAGGTTTTTTTTTTTGTTTCTCAATGTAACTTTTTTTATATGTTAATTAAGCCATTAACGGCCAGTATACTGTTACAATGTAATTAAAAACTTATAGATCTTAGGACCTAACTTATCATTATAAATTTAAGCATGTAATTTGTCATAAAGGAACAGTTAGGAAAAAAATTTGAAATGTAATATAAAGTAAATTAAATTAAATTAATAAGACGGGCACGTAAATCGGTTTCAGGTAAATCGGTTAAGGGGTTCTTGTTTCCCCAAACAAACTCCCATCCCCTTTTAACCCCCTTAAAGAATGATTTCTGGAATAAAAACTACCCTATGCCCTTGCCCGGGACTAGCACTATCTCTATACCAAATTTCATTTAAATCGGTCCAGCGGTTTAAGCGTAAAGAGGTAACAGACAGACAGACATTTTTTATAATATTAGTATGGATTAATATGGATAAATAATATTTTCACAATAATTTAAAATTTATAACTGTAATATCGTTAACGTTAAAAAGCTACTTATAACAATTGAAAAAATAATTATTGTACTACTATAACCGGCGGAAAAAAAATAAGACGTTTACAATTGATGATGATAACTGTGTATTCATCATCATCATCAACAGCCTATACTAGTCCACTGCTGGACATAGGCCTCTCCTTAGAAAGGAGGTTTTGGCCTACTATACCACGCTGGCCAGACGGGTTGGTATAGGGTTTGTTTCAAGTTTTCCTTCTCTTTGCAGTGCTGTTGTCCTGCTTAGTTTATTACGCTACAATTTATTACGCATTTTTTAAAGAAAGCGTCGCCAACTAATTTAGTTAATGAGTTTAATTTCACTAAATTAAAAAACAATGTAAGTAGTAAAATACCTTTCTTATGACAAGTATTGGAAAAGAGAAATTCGAAATTTAAAATTAACAGATGTTACTCACGAATTTCTCTTGAATTTAGTGTGTTATATAACGTTATTAAGACGTAAAATTAGTTACTAAAGCAATTAATTACTAAAGCAATTAATTAATTTGATTCAATTTTTATGTTAAGTCTAGTAGCGATGTCCTACACGTTTCTAACATAATTATGTAATGTTACATTTTTATTCTATATAATGTTTTACATATTTACATATACTCTTCTCTAAGCTACTTAGGAGTTAGTACAGGCGTATTATTCGACTATTACTTTAATCTCTCTTACGTAGGTACTTTAGGACTTAGAAGGACAAATTTGGAGTTCAAAATTAAAAGAAAACCTGGTAAGATGAGAACCAATGGTAGAAAAGGTACATTACGGACCTGTTGGTGTGTTAGTAGCCCTGACAGCTAAACCGGAGGCCGTGGGTTTGAATCCACCCAGGACAAATAAGTTTATGATTATCACGATTATTTGTTCTATGATATGTATGTATTTAGAAATATATAAGTATGTTTATCAGTATTCTGGTTACCATAGTACAGGCTCTGCCTCTAGTTTGGGATCAGACATCCGTGTGTGAGATGTGGGAGGTTATTATTATTATAAGCTTATCCGGATCGATTGGGTAGTATAAGATATAATTAGGGTAGGTCAGGGTTGCTGGGAACTCGGACAGCCTGTTTCCGGGAACTCCGAGGCTTCTTAATCATTCCATGAATTCTCAATTTAAATGTTTATTTTGGGGTATATTTATTTAGGGGTTATAAGATTTTAATTATTGTAGACAAGATTTCATTTCAAAATTAAACAAATATCCGTTAATTTTACTATTAATAACAGTTTTGGTTGGTCCTGGTGAACTGAATACTTAAAAAAATGAGCCGTTCGTTAAGAAGAAATAGAAATACCTACTTTTGTTTTCATAAAACTACTTTCACACGGTATTATGACTTTTAGGCCTTTATAACTTTTAGGCTTTTGCGCCAAGTTTGTCTATCCACTTATCGAATTAAAAAATTTTAAAAAAACAAGAATTAAAATTGTTTTTATTACAGATTTTGTTTATTAAATTTAAAGTAATTCTTGTTTAAATTTAATCGACAAAATGTATTGTCTGTTTAAGGTGTGTCGCTAAATGTTATTATTTTTAAGTTAAGGTTTTAAGGCCCGTGAACCGGCCGCAGAACGACTTCCGCCCTCCATAAGCGAAGGCCGGTGGATGGTGAGGCCATCTGTGACCCTAGCAGAAGCAGGTCGGGGTTGGGGTGCACAAAGTGGACATGGGGATTCCCATATAGGAGGGAGTCATTTACACGCCGTAGATGGCCCGAGGTACGTCGGGGTACCAGAGAGAGTAATTTCTAGGGTACACCTGATTCTCCGGCAACTGGTACCCGAGACGGCTTGCGGTTTTTTGTCAGTTCGACGTAACCATCCCACTGTTAGGTGGTATCAGAGGGGATTTCCGCACAGAATTTAATAATTTAAAAAAGGTAGAGTGTGATTCGCGAATTAATTGTTTAATGGTTTATCTTTTGTTTTTTTATTATAATATATAATAGCCAATGGTGCTAATTCTGTTGATCGAAAGCTCTCTAAACTAAACTAAAAATCACCAAAATTAGTTTTGTCCTGTCAAATAGCGTTTCGAATTCTGAAAATGTAGTACTTCACAGGACAACTAATTTTTAGTGATTTTTAGTTTAGTTTAGAGAGTTTTCGAACAACAGAATTCATACCAGTATAAAAAGAATTAGGTGCCTATATGGCATTCGTTTCAGCACGATTTAACATTATTATATGCTAGTAAGTATCATTTTTACATAATTATAGGTATGTATATAACGGTTACATAATTCAGTAAGTAGAAGCTAACTATTTTCATAAACCATTTTTGAGTTTAAGATTTAAAATAAATTATTACCCACCACAGTCTTATGTGCTTTTCTTTATAATAAGTTACCAAACTTCCCTTTAAAGTGATGTTAAAAATAAATGTATAGTTCTATTAACATAATCATCTTTAATATTAAAATATTATTCTTCAACAGTAAAATATTGTTTAGGTAAAATTTAACTGTGTTCATGCCTGTTTTTTACTCTACTTGGCTAGCGCATAAATATTTAGGTAAATTTTTAGAGATTTTTTGTGATTAAAACATTTGTATTCATTGGATTAATTATAATGACTATAGCCTTTTTTTAATTAAAGAGACCAAAGTGACATAACGTAGGTTGCTAATTTGTTGCAATTCTTAAATAAGGTAAGTCGGTTTACTGACGATAGTTGAACGTGACAACGTCATAAGAAAATACTGATGGAAAGGTTGCATTTTTCAAAAGAAAATTTTAATTACGCTTCATACTTGACGAAAACATGTAAATGTATTATTGTATAGCGGCTGTCCACGCGGACGCATCGCTGACTCAAGTAGGAGAGAGACAGATGTCGAACGCTGCCAAACGCGGACGCCGATTGTGCCTCTTTGTCGCTCGTTCCGCGCTCTCGCCTGCACTTCAAGCCTTAAATGGAACGCCTCAGAGCGAGGTAACGCCGCATGCGTCATGTTTTTTCGTGCGTGCAGCCGGCTCTATCGAATTACAAGACGTTGTCACGTCAAAAAATTACAGTTATTCATTACATTACTTAGGTTCATAATTCTGCAACTCAAAGTATATGGCGGCACTAATACACAGTTACCACTTTCAGAGTCTATATCAACAAAACGCGCACTTGACATTACTTGTTGTTCTTGTACGATTATTACTTATTGTTTATTTTTCTTTCTCTTCTCAATTTATTAAAAAAATTAAACAATCTTTAAATATTTCTTGAAGTTTATCGTCGGTACGAATTAACAAACCGTTATCGTAGGTACATCACTGCGCAAAAGAGCAGCTGGTATCATTATTTCTAAATTTGACATTTGCATGTGTCAATTTGATCTCCGAGATTAAAAACCAGGATATAGAAAAGAACCGTCCTGAAAACAACTATAAAAGTAGTCATTCCTTTTTATCAACAGCCTTTAATAGTCCACTGCTGGACATAGGCCTCTCCTTAGAAAGGAGGTTTTGGCCTACTATACCACGCTGGCCAGACGGGTTGGTATAGGGTTTCCCGGAGGTCCTACACGCGCAGTCGGCGGCGTCACCGTGGAGACGGTAAGGAGGACCGGCTTCATGAGGAGTACCGACGGGCTCGGAAAACTCTGAAGCTGGCCATTAGCCGCGCCAAAGAGGAAAAGAGACAGGAGATGCTGGAGGGTCTTAATCGTGACCCCTGGGGTCGCCCTTACCGCGCGGTGCGACAAAAGCTCCGCGCGTCGGGCCCCCCCCTTACGGAGACTCTCCCGCCCAGCTTCCTGCGAGAAGTGGTTGAGGGCCTTTTCCCACAACGAGCGGAACACACTCCCCCTTCGATGGCCTCCCTGGCCGGAGACGACGGGGAGCACGGGGAGGACAATGTTCCGCCCGTCCGGGATTCGGAGGTAGGGGCGGCTGTTCTACGGATCCGTTCCAAGAACACCGCCCCTGGGCCAGACGGGGTACCGGCCCGAGTGCTGGCCCTGGCCCTCAACCACATGGCAGACCGCCTCGGGGAGGTGTTCGACGCTAGCTTGGCGTCGGGACGCTTCCCTGAGTGCTGGAAGAGCGGGAAGCTGGTCCTATTGAGGAAGCCGGGACGGCCTGCCGATTCGGTCGCGGCCTATAGGCCCATCGTGCTGCTGGACGAGGCGGGCAAATTGTTTGAGAGGGTTCTTTCTGCCCGCATCGTCCGGCACCTCTGCGAGGTGGGCCCCGATCTGTCGGACGCCCAATTTGGTTTTCGGGCGGGGCGTTCGACAGTCGACGCCGTGTTGCGCCTGAGGGCCGTGACCGAAGAGGCCGTGAGCTGTGGCGGCGTGCTGTTGGCGGTGTCATTAGACATCGCCAACGCATTCAATAGTCTGCCATTCAGCTGCATCAGGGAAGCACTCCACTATCATGGGGTGCCAAAGTACCTGAGGCGGCTGGTGGCAGACTATTTAGAGGAGCGTACCGTCGTGTACGAGGACCGAGAAGGTAACCTGAGGTGTCGGCCCATGTCGTGCGGTGTTCCACAGGGGTCTGTTCTTGGACCCCTCTTGTGGAACATAGGGTACGACTGGGCCCTTCGCGCCGATTTCCCCCCCGGGCTGGGTGTAATCTGTTACGCAGACGATACCCTCGTGACAGCCCGGGGGGCAAACCTCCAAGAGGCGGCGCGCCTGGCCACAGGGGGAGTCTCCCTGGTGGTCGGGCGCATTGAGGCGCTGGGCTTACGGGTGGCCCTCGATAAGACGGAGGCCCTGTTATTCCATGGGCCCCGTCGTGGTCCACCCCCTGGCGCCTCAATAGTGGTCAACTCGGTCCTCGTACCGGTTCGGGCCCAGATGAAATATCTGGGCCTGATCCTCGACGGGAGGTGGCTCTTCGACGAGCACTTCCGACAGCTTGCTCCAAAGCTGGTCGGCGCTGCGTCTGCCCTAGGGCGACTCTTGCCCAATATGGGTGGACCCAGCGTCGCGACAAGACGGCTGTACACGGGGGTTGTCCGGTCAATGGCACTGTACGGTGCACCGGTGTGGGCGGCGGCTCTGACCGCCCAGAATAGGGTACGCCTCTGGCGCCCTCAGAGGGTAATGGCGGTCAGAGCCATACGCGGTTACCGCACCGTTTCGACGGAGGTGGCATGCGCATTGGCCGGAACTCCCCCGTGGGATTTGGAGGCGGAAGTGCTCGCCGAAGTTTATCGGCGAGTGGCTGACTTCCGGGCGGAGAGCGGATTTCGCCCTCCGCCCGAGGATGTGCGCGAGTGGCGCGAAGCCGCTCGCCGAGCCACGATGGCTCGTTGGTCGTTCCGGCTGGAGACTCCACGCGCTGGCTTTGCCGCCGTGGAGGCTCTCCAGCCGGTCATCGCCGAGTGGGCAGGGCGGCAGCACGGGACCCTTTCCTTCCGGCTGACGCAGGTGCTTTCCGGGCATGGTTGCTTCGGAAAGTACCTGCACACGGTCGCTAGGAGGGAACTGAGTCCCGCCTGCCACCACTGCGACTGCAGTGAGGACTCGGCCCAGCACACGCTGGCGGTCTGCCCCGCATGGGCGGCGCAGCGCCGGGCCCTCACTGCAGTCATCGGAGTGGATCTCTCGCTACCGGCCGTAGTACGCTCCATGGCCGGTAGCGACAGTTGTTTTACCGCGGTCGCAACCTTCTGCGAGGTAGTAATCTCGCGGAAGGAGGCGGCGGAGAGGGCCCGGGAGGACGACCTCCACTCGGACCCGATCCGCCGCCGGCGAACCGGGCGGCGGAGGCCCGCCTACCACAGCCTCATGCCGCCCTGAGTGTGGCCGCGGGTGGACGGGGTGGGTTTCCCCTCCACCCGCATTAGTTGGCCAGCCGCGAGGGGCGGCGTCCGCGTGTGCCGGACGTCGCCTAAAGAGAGGAAAATGTATTGAGACGGAGCCCGCACCAGGAGCGGGCTGGCGCTAGGAGGGGTCCGGATGTCTTAACAACAGCTGTTCCCGGATCCCTCCTGTTACAGGCGCAGAGTGGCACACCGTGTGGTTTTAGTCGGTCCGAGTCCGACACACCACCCCGCCGCAAACCCCGAAGGGGTGACGGTCCGAGGGGATTTCCACACGTTAAAAAAAAAAAAAAAAAAAAAAGGGTTTGTATCAAGTTTTCCTTCTTTTTGCAGTGGTGGTGTGCTGCGTAGATTTGCACCCTTAGTCGGCTCTTACAACACCCACAGGATGAATTGGGGTAGTGACATTCCGTATTCTTAATCCTTCACTACACGGACATTCCTTTTATGAGATAGTAATACATTTTTAGATTTAATCTTACAGTAAATTATAAAACTTAAAGTAAATGAGTATTGCATGTCTTTGGTATTTTTGGATTATAATAATAATATTCTACCACATTCACACAACGCCATCTAGTCCCAAACTAAGCAGAGCTTGTACTATGGGAACTAGACAACTGATATAAATACATACATTTTTTTTGTGAATATGTACTTAATATACATATTAACACCCAGAGACCAAATTAAACATTAAATGTTCATGCACACACACTGACTTGAGCGGGAATCGATCCCGCGACCTTTGAAATAGCAGTCTGCTACACAAACCACTACGTCATCTATGGCTATTAGCCCATTGGCATAGTGGCTATTCTTTTTGTAACTTCTTGTATCGCATAATATTTTTTTTTAAAACATTTCTACCATGACAGCATTTAGTAACATCAACAAAATTTTGAAATAACTTTAATAATTCTCAAAAAAGATAAACGATACATCTCTAAAATACGAAACCTATTCATTTTAATAAAAAAGTATTAATGGGAAATCAGAGGCCGTGACATTTTTGATTCCTTATAATCTGATTACTTTTTTCTGGACCTCGAGGATGATTGTAATATCAAACAAACAAATTCTGCCTTCTTGTCAAAATAAATTGGAAATTTAATCAGGGTTATATTAATGGGATGGGATGTCTTTTGTTTACTGTACAAATCCATCAAATACACATTATATACATAATACATTGTTACAGAAAAAAAGATTAATCCAATTTTGAATACGACTCCGATGCATAACTTGAAAGTAACTTGTTACTCATTTGGAACAGATGCGTTCAAGTTACGAAACTTGGACGCATCTGTTCGTAATGTGTAACAAATCATTCGGATGGCGCCAAAACTTAGACGTCATTACACAATAAGCGTATGTCATGACATGAGTTCAATTCGTTTTTTTTATTGTATTTGTCTCTTTTCATTAAATATTAATCTCCAGAACCGCTAATCCGAATTGAAAAAAATGTAACTTGATTATTTATTTATTTATTATTAATCAAAATGGCCTCTGGCCACTTACACTAATTACGAGAAGAACGTTAATACAGAATAAACGATACTTTACAACAACTATATATATTTGTAATATTAAACTTCGCTCCTTTTAAGACACAGACTTCTCGTAGTTTAACAGACATACTGATATAATCTCCTGATATTCATCTGCAAACAAGTCACGTCAGTCCAAGAGAGCGTTGAGTGCCAAGTTCCCAGCGAATGGGGGAATTAAAATATGCTACCGTGCGACATATGGGTGGTGTAAGTAACCTGTGACTGACCTCTGATAATCGATATACTTCTGGGAGAATCTCAGGGGCGTCAGTTATACCTAATAAAACTTTGCACACTGTTCTGATCTGATCATGAGTTCTCTTCACATTTAGTGTGTGATATTTTAAGCTATCCAGAAGATTTAAAGTAGGGTACATGAAAAGACAGTATCTTTTTTTTGTTTTGAATCTCAGGAACCCTTTCTGAATCTTCTCTAGTAAAAGGACGTGTGTGGTTTCATAGGGATTCCATAAGCGTTGGATTTTAGTTTATTGCGAACCAGAAATGTGATGGCTGTTGATGATGATTGATGATGATGAACCAAGGAATTATACAGTTTGTCATTTTTAGCGAATTACGAGAACAGCTACTGTTGTTATAAAATAAACAACTTACTTGATCCACTAGGCACCCATTTGATACCGATCCACCAGAAGCTGAACATGGTGGAGTGGTGATATACGTGAAGGAAAGTAAGTTGTTCATCTTTTTTCCTGAGAATAAAGAAGAATGTGTCGCAGAACTCCAATAGTTTCGAAAAGTAATACCACCAGACTGCATCGGCTATCTGGAAAAGAAATTAATATTTCACAATACTTAAGGTATGTCAGTAATTAAAGATATCTGAACTTGATAGATTCTATTTCTATAATCCTATTCTATTATATATTCTATTCTATCTAAAACTCATAAAACCCATACCAAACCCAAACACCCAACTCAAACACATACATGTGCAAATATCATGTAACAGGTTTTCACAGCCTTATCCGTTTACTGTCATCACATCAACAGCCTTTAACAGTCCACTGCTGGACATAAGCCTCTCCTTAGAAAAGACGTTTTGTTCTACTATACCACGCTTGCCAGACGGATTGGTATAGGGTTTGTGTCAAGTTTTCCTTCTCTCTGCAGTGCTGTTGTCCTGCATACTTTACTCCCTCAGTCGGCTCTTACGACACCCACGGGATGAATAGGGGTAGTGACACTCTGTATTCTTAATCCGTCACCACACGGACAAATGTACTGTACCGTTTATTGTATTCTATTTTATCTTTTTCCTTGACGTCAGGCAGGTACCAAGCCTTAAATATAATCAGAAAATCCATTTGTAATATTACGCAAATAAAATCAGAACAAAGTCAGAAAGATGATGCAGACGTTGCAGATGATCATAAAAAAATAGGATTTTTTATATTTAATAGCTCAATATTAATTATTAAAATAAAACGTTTAAATATTAACTTTTAGTAAACGATATCAGTTATAGTAGGGGAGCCTTTGAAGGGATTACGGGATTTACTCGAGCGTGGCAGATTAACATAGGAGGAATACTTTACACCCAGTTGAGTACCTCCACCATACATGAGCCCTAATTATAGGGGGGATTGTCTAGGGCAGCCCATCAGATTAGTAAAAAAAAATCGATGGCCAGAAATACCCGAGTGTGTAAGATTAAGGTAAGTTGATGAAGAGGTAAGATGAATTCAAAAAAGTTCAAACCGTCAGATTTAAAATACCCTGCAAAATTATTATGTTCCAGCTTGTATCACTTTGAAATCGGCAGACCTTTCAATGGGAGCACTCTTGGCGTCGAAATAACATATCCCCAAAATATATGATGCGCCCGAATATTTTTTTCGATTTCCTCCCCTTACATTATTGAAAACCTCTAGAAACTTGTCCCACTGCTGAAAGTGGATACATCGCAGTCCCCGACGAACAAAATCGTAATAGGAAAATGACAATTTTACAGGAGCAAATAAAAACTGAATATCTTGAATACTATCAAGACTAAAAAGAAGATTCTTTTATCAAAAATAAGGGAATATTTTTTTGCACTAGATTTTTACTAAATTTTTATCATAAATTTTCTTTATCAGTAAGAAAATTGTGAAAATGTCCATTACTGAAATAAGCTATGGAAAAAATTAACGCAAACTAACTTTACGATAGTGTTCGACTGTAATCACAAATCGGTGTTGCTGTAGTAATCGTTCATTATGATATTGTTCCATGGTAAATATGAATATACTATAGTCCTTTTTCCCCAGGAACAATACAGTAATAGCCGCTTACTCTAAAATGTTGACTTTTGAGATTTGGTAATAGGTTTTTGCGTTATTGATCGTGTAAATTTTTACTTATGTTATACGTAGAACAAAAACATAAAGATCATTATTGAATGGATAAATCCAAAAGTATTCATCGCCCGATCATAAAAAAAACTCAATGATTGTAATAGGGTGTGTAGATAACGAATATTTAATAAACCCGATTCTATCGTAATAGCGATTACCATAGTGTTCGTCGGGGACTGCGACATTATATAACATTTATTCATTCCATTACCTAATCTTTCAAATGCAATAGTTCCCCATGACGCTCGATTCTCTATTAAGCTTCATGGGCTCCCCTACTATTATTGGGGAGACTTTAGCTGATGAACAGCAATACTTCAAATTTTCAAATTTAGAAACAACTTCCTGATCGATATTTTTCAGACTAATGCTGAAAGGTCATTATTGCTACCGTCCGATGTTTTCCCTACCACCTTGAGTACGATAAAATTCTATAAAAAGTAACATAAAAGTAACATTATATATTCACGACAAAACGAAAAACCAAAAAGGTTTTGGCCTCTCCTTAGAAAGAAGGCCAAAACCTTCTTTCTAAGGAGAGGCCTATGTCCAGCAGTGGACTATTAAAGGCTGTTGATGTGATGATGTGATATATTCACGGTTAATTCTCTAATCCAATAACTGTTTATATATGTGAAGTGTAGTTATTCGCTATTTGTATTGTTATACTCACTGTTTTACATTTATATGTTGTGTTTTGTTTTTCTCTCGCAAATAGATTACTAAACTATTAATATTATTTATTTTATTATTTATTAACTCCTTTCTAAAGGAGAGGCTTATGTCCAGCAGTGGACTATTAAAGGCTGTTGATGAAATAGATTACTAAGAAAAACTAGGTATTTAAATTCGGATAGGTAGGTGGTAGTGGTAGGCACTAAATTTTACTATTTATTTTTCCTTCCACTAGCAGCTCTATACGAGACACTTAAAAATGCTATCTACTTCTTAAGATCATTGAAGCCTCTTAGGTGTGCGTTGTAGTGCTAGCGTTTTTCGCAACCAATCACTCTTTTAGGCAATTTCAACATAGGACGTCTACTGCTGGACATAGGTCTCCCTTACTGGCTTTCCTGAACTCAGCTGAACTGATTGATATCAGCCTACAATCAACGATACGATTTGATCTTAATACAGTCAATGGTCATCTTTTCTTCCACTTTGATTTCACTTCAGCAATAAAAAAAAATGTAATTTTCATTTTCTTCTTTGCTACTAACATTTATAAAAAATAATCCTCAAAATACCTTGTAAACCTTAATTGAATCAAACATAAATAACTTTATATTATTGAACAAGGTTTAGGATCAGAAGCTTATCTAAATATACAAACCTTGTTTGAGATAATTTGAAAATATTTGTGTATTCTAGATCAAATTGAGATTTATAACGATAGGAATCTAATTACCGAATGTAAATCGAAATCTCAATTTGAAGAATCGTGTAAAATTCATGAATGAGTAACGATCCGACTTCTTCAAGTATATCAATTCGAATACCTTATTCGAATTGATATACTTGAAGATTTAATTTTCTTGAATTGTTTTGTAGTGTTAGTGAACGTTTAGGTCAATTTATGTGATCAATATGCAAAATGTATCAAGTTGAGTATAACATTTTACAGACAATATCTGAGACATTACGTATACGTATTTTACTTATCATTAATGTTACTTGGTAGAGCATTGTTCAAGCGTTTACGATCACAAAGATTTATGTGAGTTTCTGAACAAAGTAGCATCGTTTAAACTGCAATTTTAACTTTTAAAACCTTGTACATAAATAATCAATATATATATATATATATATATATATAAATAGTTATTAATGTACTTTTCTTAAAAGTTTCAAGTTGAGGAAATCTAAAAGAACTTTTATTAATAATAACTTAGTCACCACTTGTCACCCGCTTAGCGTCCTTTATCGTTAATTCTCGTCTTAGTACAATTTAATCCAAATTTTTCTTATCAATGACAAATAGAAACTGAATTATTTCCATAACTGACGAAACCGTATCAAATCAATTAGCTGATGAATGATCGACTGACCTGGTGATGTACTTAAATTCTAATATATTATTTTCATCATCATTTTCCTGACCTTTTCCTAATTTCATTCTGGATAACATTGCAAAGGGTTTTCCTTTATAGGCATAAGTTGGCCTGACGCCAATGTTCTGTGGCAATGTAATCGTTTCCAAATGAAACAAACAAAGACGGTGAATTGAGGTAAATAAACAGAGAGAGGGAAGGAATATAGCAGCAAAAACTCAAGCCTCGGATGGGAAAATTGGACTATTGGAAATGTAGTAGCCAAAAAAACCTGGGTTCAGGTACCAGTATGTCCGTCTTGTAATTGGACAGGTTATTAAAGAGATATATCAACACTCAATACTAATACACATATTAATCAATAACAACGTATTTTCTTTGTGATATCTAAGGAGTACTTACTTGTAATTCATCAGGATCATACTTCTGTCGACAAGGCTCACAAATATAACTGTATCTCAGTCTAAACGATGCCGTTAATAATCTAACAGCTATATACGCGTTTAGCACTGCCATAGCTAGATTGTATGGCACGAGCAACCAGTTTAGTTTGAATGGTCTTCGGTTCTTCATGATCTTTGGCCCTATCCACACTATGAAGAGGTATAACAGTGTATAGAATACCGTTGGTGCGGGTGAATCGACTAGGGGCCAGCCTTTTGTTCTGTTATCTGTAACAAAGAATAGTTTTTACGACTTAATTTCATATGTATTTATGAGATTTAAAACTAGTCATAACATATATGTGATAAAATGAACAATCAAACTTAGACTTTGACGAACGACGAACTGGCGAACTGCCCCGCGTGGACGGCTGAACGCACAGTCCTGGTCCTGATATGACTAATGTTACATTTTAGATGGGCCTGTTTGTCTAGTGGGTAGTGACTCTGACTGCTGAACCGGAGGTCGTGGATTCGATTCCCACCCAGAACAAATATTTGTGTGATGAGCACGATCACTAGTTCTGTGTCTGGGTGTAATTTATCTATAATATGTATGTATTTAGGAATATATAAGTATGTTTATCAGCAGTCTGGTTACCATAGCACAGGCTCTGGCCTAGTTTGGGATTAGACGGCCGTGTGTGAGATGTATGAGGAGGTTACATAGCGATATTTAAATGCGATCTAAATGAAGTTTGTACCATCTGTTCTAAACCTGGATGAAAATATTAGAATGTATGTGTAATAAATACATAGGGTAGAGAGTTAAACCAATATAAAATACAAATACAAAAGGAATAGGTTCGCTATAGAGTTACTGGTAAGTAGATAAATGTATACTCTGTCTCACTTTCCGGAATTCCGGTTAGGTAGGAATTTTTACATAAATAATTCTTCTATGCTACTATAACTCTTACTAAACGGCTGGACCGATTTTGATAATTTTTTTCAAGTGGATTCAAGAATGGTTTAGATTTGAACTACTATAAATGTTTTTCTAGTTAATAAGTGTGTACAGGATAACGTCTGTAGGATCCGCTAGTTTTATTATATTATTATATTTCTATTTTGGAACCTTTTAACATTTAAAATTTATATCTAATGGTTCTCAGCTCTAAGTTCGACTCTTTGTAATTTCTGCAAAAAAGTGTTGCATAATTATTTATTCGACAGATAGAAGAACATGTGTATAATCTGAAATAGCTGCACTCCTTTCTCAGTAACTTTTTTGACGTGACAACGTCTTATAATTCGATGGAGCCGGCTGCACGCACGAAAAAACATGACTCATGCGGCGTTACCTCGCTCTGAGGCGTTCCATTTAAGGCTTGAAGTGCAAGCGAGAACGCGGAACGAGCGACAAAGAGGCACAATCGGCCTCCGCGTTCGGCAGCGTTTGACATCTGTATCTCTCCTACTTGAGTGAGCGATGCGTCCGCGTGGACAGCTGCTATACAATAATACATTTACATGTTTTCGTAAAATGCAACCATTCCATCAGTATTTTCTTATGACGTGGTCACGTTCAACTATCGTCAGTAAACCGACTTTACAGACAACCGATTTTTATGAACAAAATTAAATATGATTTGATTTTTATCGAAGATTTTATTTTTGAGAAAACAAGGGATTGTAAAGTAAACAGTCAATTGGAATATAAAAATCTAGTAATCAAAATAACGAAATTGTAGCCACATTTTGCAATGATTTAGATTTTAATTTCCTTATAGGCAAACGTCCTAAACAAATATAATTCAGCTATTCGTGTGTTATACAATAATATTTGTTTGGGATCCTGATAATTGTCTTCTATGGCAATTTTGTAGCCGTGTGCTAGAATGACGCGCTACCTCGCCCCCGCCACTGTCTGTCACCCCGCGGGACGGTCGCGCACGAGATTACCGGGTTATAGTTACCTATTCTCAAAAGTTACCTCCAGACGTATTCCTACTTAATAGAATTATCTTCATAGGATATATTTTTAAGTGCAAAGAAATGGAAACAGATGTTGTTAAAAAAACACTACCCACTGAAACATACATAAAATTTATGATTCAAATTTTTTTTTTTTATGTTACAGAGGGCACACGAGTGAAATGATTTTTATCGTATGTATGGACTCTGAAATTAAACTCCGATAAACATTTCTCTGGCAAATAAGTCGCCGACTGTATGTATATGTGTGTATTTAGAAATATATAAGTAAGTATGTGTATCAGTTTGGGATCAGACAGACGTGTGAGAGATTGGTCCAGTTATATTTAATCGCCATAAGAGATTGATTCTGTGGGACTGATTGACACTAAGATCTCATAGGTAATAATGATCCGACCGGTTTCGTCCATGGCGACTGCATTCCACAACTACTGTCGTCGTTCGTGAGCTGTCATGTGGCTTATCACGCCGATCTTTTTTTGGAAGATCCATGCGTTTAGTGGGTATGAGAGCATACCATTATGGTAATTATACCTGATTATCAGAGGTGGTCGGGCTTTTAGTTCGTCGCGCTTCTGATAATTTAAAATGCTTGCAATTTGGATTGTAACCGAGATCTCCATTCAGGCCTGCCCTCAGACTGCTTCTCTATTATATCTGCTTCTATATTATAATTAAAAGGAAAACGGTTGGTTTGTGTGACGGACTGCTACGCCAAAGGTCGCGGGTTCGATTTTCGCTCAAGTCAAACATTTCTGTGCTTAGACATTTAATGTTTTATGTGGTCTGGGTGTTCTTATGTATAACATGTATGTATTTACAAACAAAAGTAAATATGTATTTATATCAGTTGTCATGTAACTATAATACAAGCTCTGCTTAGTTTGGGACTAGATGGCGTAGTGTTGTGTGAGTGTGATAGAATATTGTAATATATAAATACAATATATTATTGAGAAACTTAGTCTGATATTGGGTCTGATGATAATTTGCCTAACATTGATATGCCAAAACGGCGATATATATATAATTAAAAAGTTTCTTACCAGAGAGTGACAGTGTCCAGAGATAATAGTCGTACGTTTCTTTCAGCACACTTTGCGTTGAGTTCATGATTATTTCAGCCATTTTGTCTCAACTAAGAGTTTGACTGAAACAATAAAAAAAATTAAATAATATAAAAAAAAAGATAAATGATAAGATAAACATTAAAACATATATATGCAGGCATTTATTGAAAAGTAAAGCTTTGTAAATAAAGATTTTCATTTTTTTTATACAAAATCAGGACCAAAGTACAACATAGATAAGTTAACGGATAAGAATACGGAGTGTCGCCACCCCTGTTCGTCCCGTGGGTGTCGTAAGAGCCGACTAAGGGAGCAATATACGCAGGACAATAGCACTGCAAAGAGAAGGAAAACTTGACACAAACCCTATACCAACCCGTCTGACCAGCGTGGTACAGTAGGCTTAAACCTCCTTTCTAAGGAGCGGCCTATGTCCAGTAGTGGAGTATTAAAGGCTGTTGATGATGATGATGATGCTAATAGGCAAATGACAAAATGTCGATAGTTTTCCACCTCAATAGTTATGCAGGAGAATGATTCGGTCTAATTATTCTCCGTCTGTTCTGAAATGGAACAGTTTTGAGCAACATGGTCATGTTACGCAAAAATTCACAAACGAATAAAAATTAAACATTGATGCTAAACTAAAAAATTGCTCTGTGTTTAAATTTTTTCTATAAAATAACTTTTTTGTTTCATGATTGGTGTTTCTATGTATAATATATATATATTTACAAAAAAAAGTATATATGTATTTATATCAGTTGTCTAGTACCCATAGTACAAGATCTGCTTAGTTTGGAACTAGATGGCGTTGTGTGAATGTGGTAGAATATTTATTATTATTGTATTATGATTAAAAAATAAATCATTTTTCCATAACAACTATGTATTTTTTCTATATGAATACATATAGTTAGCATTATTATCTCTACTTGTGTGGCAAAAAGTGGCAAAAATTTACTTGGAAATCCCAAAAGACACGGGTTACACGCTTTTAATCTACTTAATATTTCATAAAACGCTCGTTACCAGCTTTGGAAAAGTGATTATCTCAATGAAAAGAATCTAATTTATACAGGTCTTTTCTAGACCGCAGTATGATGGATTATAGGCAACAGGACTAAATACCTGTAATAACTTTGTTTATCTTATGTCATACCTCTAACGTAAAAACAATTTCTTTCCGTCAGTTATATGCTTAATTCATTTTTTTATAGAGCATTCGGAAATTAAAACTAGGGAGAGGAGCGCAAACACTCGAAATTAAACTTTAAACCTATTGCTATAAAGTGCATACTTGTTTAAACGTTTCAAAAAATGCTCACGCGGCTTCGGGCTATGTGGATGCACTTTATAGCAATTGTTTTAAAGTTTATTTCCGAGTGTCTTAAAAAATCCTCTCCACTGCGCTCCTCTCGGTCTGCGCTGGCCCTCATTATTATATTAATGTATTATCATGTTATTAAATTTCCTTTTATTCTGAGGCTTAGAAGAATTAAGTACCAATTATTCGATATAATATTAACCCAAATTCCACTTATAACTACAATGAAAACGCAATACAATGGCTGCCATTTTCATTGATTGTATTAGTCCTAAGTGTGTCTATTCGTGCCTATGAATAATGCAATTTGTTTATTCGTTCAGTTATTGCTGATGACCTCCAACTAGTATATAAAGAGATCACTGAGTACAGTAACCTAAAAGACAAATAACGGTACGAGTAAATAATACCGGATAAGATAATTAGTAAGAATTAATACTTACTAATTAATACTAAACCTCCTTTCTAAGGAGAGGCCTATGTCCAATAGTGGACTATTAAATGCTATTGATGATGATGATGATGATGAATATGAACAAAAAACATTGCACGTGGGCAACAAACCGTGGCAGGGCCATGCTGCCTCGTAGGTGCAGTAATTAGGTGGCGTATGCGACTGCCGGGTCATTTCAAATGTATTTATGAACATTCCAAATGACTATACCAAACAGTGCCATTTTGGCATAAATACAGAAGCGGTCTAATTTAAGCGCCGGTTCAATATCGGTTACTCTTCCCTATAATATGTACGTATTTACAAAAAAAAAAAAGTATTCTATTACCCAATCTAGCTTTCATAGTACAAGCTCTGCTTAGTTTATAAACTAGATGGCGTTTTGTGTTTGATATCCCAAATATTTATTTATTATCTATTAATTCGGAAAAAAATTGCCAGCTCGACTGGAGTGATACAACTCTATCACGGATAGTCGGTGTTAAGTAGGTAATTCTTTCATTACTTTTCACTGAGTGAGTAAGATTACCGAAGTTAAAATAATTAAAAACATAATGAAATCTTGATAATAATGCGGCAATTAGTACTTAGTCTTTTTAATATTAGTTAATATGAAGATTTATAATTAGAGTGAAAGTATTTTTCTACATTAATTACATATTTTCATTAAGGCCTACACCAATTAATTATATCGAATAATGTGTTCCGAGCGACAAAACAAACACACTATCAGACATTTGAGTGATTATATAAGGCTTTAGTATCTAGTGATATCTCTAGAGAACATTAAAGAAGAATTAACTTCCATAGTAATTAATGCATTACGAACTTTCACTTGTAAAAGCTATACAAAATATATAGTTTGAATGATGAACTACAAATCGTGACTGTATTTTCTGTCGTACCATTACTAGATAATAAATCGAGAGAGCGTTTGGCGTGACTGTATATACCTGTAAATCGTGATTGTATATGTAACGTACGCATGCTGGTCATTGTAAGAGCAACATGGCAAATTAGGGCTACATCGATAAGTCGCAAACGAGCTGTGTATGTGGCTCTCCAGTGCAAACCATGCCACATTTGCTTTCCTGTCCACTGTGCCCCTACAGCTGCATTGTAGAGGAACTGTGGAGAGCAACGGACAATGCTGTGGCTGTTGCGGAATTTTGGGCGGGCAAAAAATTTAGGGGTGGATTGTAGAATTGATTGAAGACGTATGTGTAGTGACATATTAAGAATACGAAATGTCACTACCCCAATTCATCCCGTGGGTGTCGTAAGAGCCGACTATGGGCGCAAAACAACGCAGGACACCAGCACTGCAAAAAGAAGGAAAACTTGACACAAATAGTATACCAACCCGTCTGGCCAGCGTGGAACTGTAGGTCAAAACCTCCTTTGTGAGGAGAGGCCTATGTTCAATAGTGGACTATTAAAGGCTGTTGATGTGTGTGATGTGATGTACGTATATTTTAATACCACGTCAGGTCAACATATATACCTATAGCTTTACCTAGCCAGTTTTACAAATTTTCTAACTTAATTGCACATTTTGCTGAAAAATTATAGCTTTGAGTACTTTTCGATTTATAAACATTATGTATTCCAAATAATTATATACATATTTTTTGACTGCCTCGGTGGTGTAATGGTAGCATATGTTGTACTGGTCTTGGGTTGGATTCCCGGGTCGGACCAAATGTTTGTGTGATCTGAAAATGTATTGGTTTCGGAGTTTGGGTGTTTTCTATGTATAATTTGTATGTATTCACAAAAAAAAACTATGTTAGTATTCTATTAGTTAATCTAGCTTTCATAGTACAAGCTCTGCTTAATTCGAAACTAGATGGCGCTGTGTGTCAGACGTTCAAAAAAATATTATAAAAAAACTTTTGTGTACTTTTGTACACAGGCTTTTAAACTTATAAAAGTGAAAATAAATTAAAATAAATCTCACCTAATAATACATGTAAATATAATTAACTCGACACGCCTGCCGAGTGTTATGTCATTGTCGAGGTAAGAAATTGGTGAAATCTTGTTTCGACTGGCAACGCCTTCAATCAACGTCGTCGCTATTATTTAATACGATGTATCATATTAACTGGTTTTTTGTTTGTAGGCCGCCGACGTTGAAATGCATTTTTAAGGCGAAAACACTTGAGAAGAAAGTCGGATCAGTGACTTTGTAATAATACTAAAAATGTTTATAATAAAGGTTTAAAAAGACAACTCCCGCATTAGGAATATATTCTGTGTCGGAGGGAACATTGCAAACATACATGAAACGGACACAATGAACATCCAAACTCAGAACAACAATATGTGGATCACATAAACTGTCGTCCTATGTGGGGTACGAACCCACAACACTAAGCGTAGTAGTAAGCGATTAAACCACTACGCCATCCGTGCTGTCAAATAGCTACTATATACATATATTAGTATTCTATCAGTCAATCTAGCTTTCATAGTACAAGCTCTACTTTGTTTGAAACTAGATGGCATGGTATGTCAGATGTCCGAAATATTAATAACATACATTCACTGACGTATTTATACTCGAAGGGCAGAGGCATATTAAATGCCCATATTCTGCCAACAAGGGCAATAAGGTATAAGGGCCAGCATATTACCGTCGGCGGGGACATACATACCTACATGTATTTCTGAACTAGCTTTTGCAAATGGCTCAGTCTACGTGTATAATGGTTATCGCACTAAAAAGTAGCCTATTACTCTCTGATAATGTGGTTTTTCATTTGTAAAAAAGTTCTTAAAATTGGTTTCGTGGTTTAGACGTGAAAGCAATAGCTAGTATTTATATATTTCTATACATATAGAAATTACATACAACTAACAGACACAGAACAAAATATGATCGTGTTCATCACACTATATTTTTGTCCTAAATGGGAATCGAACCCACGACACACTCAGGAGTCAGGCTCGATAACCAAAAGAACAACAGGCTCGTTAGTACACTTTCAATATACAATATCGCAACCGCACAACTTAGTAATTAATTTTAAGTCGGGTATTATTACATCTTTTGAGGGCGACATGTGTAGCGACAATTTTCATCTCCACAATACAGCATCATCACAATGGGTTATGTTTTTATTTAAATCTTAACTTAATTTTCTCAGAGTTAGGGTGTATATGAGACTACAGTTTTCATTTGAAATTGACAAGATGCGGTTAGTGTGGGCTGATTAACAAAGACGTGGTTATTTCATCAACACTAAATTATATTATGTTTTTAATAATAAAT